AGTGAATTGAGGCTTGAAATTTCCATAGCGAAGCAACAAGTGTAAAAACTAATACTAATTTATAGTAAAAATCGTCAAAGAATAAGATTCTTAATATAAAAACAGATATATCCATGTATATGAATAACCGTTGCTAATACTGATTGTAACAAACATTTTTTAAGAGTACCAAAAAATACGTTAAAAAAAATAGTTGAAATATTGAAGACTGGAATTTGAAAAATATATCTGACAAAGAAAGAGCAATGCAAAACGAAACGACGAAATTTGCCCTCTGTCAAAAATTTTCAATTAAGTAAATTTATAAAGCTGAAAAATACAAAATTTTGCCACAAATATCTCAATGAATAACCAGAAGCTGGAACTTTCAAAAGCTCTCTATTATCTTTGACCACACATATTTCAAGTTGATAAAGTTGCTTACTATCTTGTGAACAAATCTGTGGCAAAATTTTAAACTTAGAAACCGCCTATCTAAACAGTATATCAGGCAGATAAAGAAATTTTTGATAGTACTTAATTACCTGAACAGTATTTCGAGAGCAACAAAAATGCGAATAATTGCGTTTGTCCCATTTACCTGGTGAAACCCCCGACTCGCCTGCCATTTCGTTAATAGGAAGACTGATAAACGAGTTTGGCATTTCTGAAGCAAATTTTAGATAATATTTGCTACTGTACCGAAAAAGATAAAAAAAGTAGCTAGTAGAATTGGTTGTGATATCGTCTGATATTAAAAGTTCTTAAGCTGCAATATGAATTCATAAGAATTAAGCAACATACAAAGAGAATCTATCCGTTACGCCACCTATCCAATCATTTACCAATTTTTACGGAAAGTCAACAGAAGAAGATGGAACAGTAAAAGCTTAACAAATTTGTAGGGTCCTCACCAATCATCGCTTCATTTTTTGTCAGCATTTTCAAAAAACTAAAAAGGTAAAAACTTCAAAACTAAAGCAGATTTATAAAAAAGTATTTAACGTCTTTTCCTCTGTCAGCAGAAATTGTTTACTGCAACTGTCAAAAAATTAGCAAACTATGAGAGCGCTCAAAAAATTTTTGCTTGCACATCCGTGTGCATGAATTTAAAAAAAAATTTTTGCTATTTTAATAAGTTCAATTTCCTTCCACATGTTTACCCCCCTCCCCCACAGATCAAGTCAAATACATAAGCAACAACAAAAAAACACTTCACAAAAAAGTGACGAAAAAATTTCACATAAAATTTTTTAACTAACGACATGTTCAATTAAATTCCAACTAAAATGACTGCAGTCAACTGTTGACTGATATATCCAAAACCAATTAATTAAAAAATTCTGCTATGTGTTCGTAACAAAACAAAAAAAAAAATTTCTGGTCTTCAGAAACTTCCTTTTAAGCACATAAAATTATTCCTCTAAGACAAATAAGCTGAAAAAATAGCGAGAAGGAAAAAAGTTGAAGAAAAAAGTCATTGATCAATAGCTTTAAAAAAATATACAAAAACAAAACGAAGTCCCAGTAATAATAAGTGCATCTGCTAAAGCATCTTTTGGTAGTTGTTTCCCTATCCTTTCAAAAATAGCCATCCATGGAAGTTTATAACTCATTGTCGATACACTCTGATTTCACTGTTAACTCAGCGAATGTCTGAAGAGAGTAGTAATAGTTTTATTCTGAAGCCTGGCCCTCCGTAATAACTGATACCAAATTTTTCTATCGATGCCCCCAAACTTTGTGTTCAGCTTGCCTTAACTATTTAATAACAATGATACAGTGGTCCTGTTTCTGGTTATAGAACTAGTTAGCTCGAAAATAATTTTTTTTTTATTCAAATAATGATAATAAACAGAATGGAATCACAATCATTCATATTCTTGCAAATACAGCATAAGAATGTACCATCAAATAAACATCGTGAAGTGGCCAATTCAAAGACTCAACAAAGTAGTGAGTACAGCAGGAAGATTCAGCCCATAAGCGCGAAATGTTAAACTTTTTCAATGTGTTCTACAAATTTGAATAAGTCGTTATTTCAAAGCCATTAAAAAAACAACCATCAAAGAAAGCTATGACAGAATAAGAACTCGGCTTTTCTAAATTACTGTTATTTTTAGACGTAACACACAGCTTACCTGTTACAAAATTTTTTTTAATGATCAGTAACTCGTGGCTGTTTTAAGCACTTTATATCTGCTAAGGTTGAGATGTTGATATAGCTGAAAAAGTATCACACAAAAGCTTTCCACAAATTTTTTTGAAGAGAACCGCCAACAACTGTCACGTCCACCCCCCAAAATCGTAAAAATTGGCGTTCTGATACTTACGAAACTACCAGTGATTAGAAATACAACAACTAGACCTGACTATAAATTGTTGGGCAATCTTCACATTAAAAAAGTCCATTCGTATAACCTCTTCTGCTGTAGCAGAAGAGGTTAAAAAAGGTCGGTAAAATCAGAAAATACATCGAAGTACACTATCAGTTCTGTATTATAGGTTAATTTGAAGATTAGTCAACCATCACAGGAAAACTACTTCCGATTAAAGCAGGAAAGCAATGCTAGAAAGAGCGAGGATATTTTCAGACTAATAAGGACTAGAAGTAAATTTAAAAAGATGTAGTTCCACTCTCCACTAAACGATGAGAGTGACACAAAGCATCAAAATATAAGCGTCTTATAAAAAAACCATATAACCACACTTATTTCTTCTGATATTAGCTTTTGCTAAGTATTGTTAACAATACTGCCAAATTTAGACATTTCCCAAGTGCCACCTAATCAACTTTCTTAATGCGTTTTACGACCCCTCTGACTTAATGCGATATAAGAGTGCCCCCTCATCCCTTCCTCCCTCCTCCCCCTCCCATCCCGAAAAAAAAAGTTGCAACCTCATCAGAATAGCTAATATATCAATAATTTTAAGAATTAAGAGTGAAAAAAAGTTCCAAATCATACACCCTTGCGTGGAAATACGGTAAAATGAATTGTCAAAAATATGAACCATATATACATTACCAAGTTACAAAAAAGAAAAAAAACGGAAAAAACACTCAATCGTCTTCTCAACTCAGCTCCCATGTAAACATCTCGCGATTATCCCTATTTTATTCAAACATGCTGAAAACAGGCAAAAAAGTGCTTCTTTAAACACTTTTAAAAAGTTCTGTAAAAGATACTGTCGATTTTAAGTTCCTGAATAAAGGAATACTTGAGCAGAAGAGTATTCACCGATTTTTGAAACAGATCTAGCAAATTCAAGACCAAATTTCACTATTTAAGTAAACTTAAACATTCTGGAACCAAAAACGGCAAAAATATATTTAAAAAAAGATGACCTCTTCTATTTCATGCCCATCTATCAAAACCATCCGGAAACCTTAGAGAGTGAAGATCTAGCAGTACTTGCCCAGAAATTTGGAAAGTTTTTTGAATAACGTTGTATAGTAGTTCTTTGCAAGTAAAATAAAGTAATACACAAACTGTTTTACAGGAAGAAACCGTAACACCAAAAACCTAAAAGTAAAACTGCAAACAAGATCAAGTCAGTTACAAAGAGATAAATTTATTTTTATTCTCTTAAAATGTTAATTGAAGTCCCAACCTATTATTGTATCACAAAACACTCCCGAATCAACAATAAAAATATAGAGCTGTTATTAAAACAAATTAACAATATTAGAATAAATAACCAACTCCTACATTAGCTCTTAGCTAAAATTACCCAATGTAAGTTATGACACCAAAACACTTTGATGAAATCAATCAAGGCCAATCTGGACGGATATGAGACAAATACCAGCATATATAAAACCTTTCATAAACCATCTGTATTTTCTTGATTTGTCATAATACCATGTTTTTTTTTTCAGCTTTTCAAAAGTGGTACGTCACACTCGTTCCCGAAAGCAGCGCAAATCAGTGATGGACCATAACCAGTAGCACGTTCACCGTTCTCAACAAGATGAGCGAAATCAATGTGTATCCAGTCAACATCTTTCCCAAAATCAATGTGTGATGCTATGAAAAGACCAGCAATACAACTTGGAGGTCCCTGAATATTAGGTCAGCTTTTAATTAATTTAAGCGGTCGATTAATTCGAAAAAAAAA